CCTTGGACCAGCACACCGTGGCTCTGTTTGTGTGGGATTCTGTCCACGCCATGGCCCTTCTTCTTCCCTTCACGCTCCTTTCCCATATTTTCCCAGAAAAGGGGAGGAAATCATTTAAAAAATACAGGAGGAAAATAAACAACAACCTTTCTCTGTGAGTTTATTTTGTGATGTTATAAATCTTTGGACCCTTGAAATTTAAAAAAAAAAAACAACTATAAAAAAATCACCACCAAAGTATAGGAAAGGGAGGGAAGAGTCACGCCTAACAGGAAGGCTTTCCCCAAATTTGTCACAAACTCATTAATTCAAGATTGGAAGCTTGGAGAACCTGAGCAGAGCCTTGGCAGCACGGAAAGGTGTAAAGCGAGGTTGCAGACCCGCGGCCCCTGGGCCAGATTCCACTGACGTGTTTTGTTTGGCTCCCGTAGTTCTTGAAAAATAGTCAAATCAGTTTCAAACATGGGAGTTTTCATAATAAAACCCCTGATGTCCAGCATTTTTTTTTGAGGAACGGGGAGCACTGGTGCCAGGGCTGTGGCTGGTTGGTGGCTGACCACGTGAAGGGGCATGGCTTCTGGTCACAGCCCCGGCCAGCAAAGCACTCCTGGTCTAGAAAGTTCTGGACTCACACTTGGAGCACCAGTCACCAGCTGGATGACTTGGAGGCTGGCACTTACTGGACTTTTCCTCCTCACCTGCCGCTGGCAGCCTTGTGTGTGTGACAGCACATTGTAAACACGAAGCGCAGCAGATTCCCAGCCACACAGGGACCCTTGGGCCAGCGGGCCTCAGGGAAGAGGCGCTTGGTGACAGTCGGTGCACCTGTAAGGACGTTCCCTACTGCCTTCTAAGACAGTGCCAGCCACTTCTTTCAAGTTTTTTCAAAAGATGGATTTTAAAAATGTGTTTTCTAAAATTATGATTATTTTACAAGGTCTGCACAGTCCACATGGTGCTTTATAGGGTGTATCCGGCTACAGCTGGCCCACTTCTGGGTGTTTTATGGCAAATTATTCTCAGATTACCCTTTAATGCAGGAAGGCCTGCCAGTTGTCTGAGCTCCCTGGGTCATATAGAAAACCCCTAGACTTGATACGAAACAGCTGCCTCGGTCAGCTGTTCCAAAAAAAGGAGCATTTTCAGGCCGAAGCAGCAGGAAAAAGGTTTTTTGTAATTGGTGGAGATTTTGAAAAAAAAAAAAAAAAAAGTTAAATTACTCTTTCCTGGCCATTAAAAGGTGATTGAATTTTGTTATTAACAAATTGTGGGAATCTCGAAAGAAGGGAGGTTGTTAAGTGCCCTCTGGCAATACTTACAGTATGTCCCGGGGGGGTGTTCTCCATGGAGGGTGGCTGCACAAAACTCCGCTGACCTCCGTGTCCCTGGGCCTCAGCCCGGGCTGGGCCGGGGTCAGGGGGCCAACCCCCGGGCCTCCCTCCCCTCTCTCCCCAGGGCCCCTGCTGAGACCAGCAACAAAAGGGTCAATTGTCTGAGGCCCCCCTTTGTCTCAGAGGCTCTATGGGCCTCTTCAAATGCCAAAGTGTCTCAGTGCACATGGGTGAATGCATATACACATGGCTGTAGGAATGTGTATCTGTATGTATATGTGCACATGTGCTGGTGCATGTGAGTATTGTATAAGCATGTGCGTGCACGTGTGCACCCAGGAACACATGCTTATTTATATGTGCACGTGCATGCACGAATAGGAATGCACACGTACCTGTGCATGCATACATGGGTGTGGATGCACCTCTGTAAGTGTGTGCATGCACACACGAGTGTGCACGTGTGTGCCTATGTGCACACACATACGAATGAGTTGGGTGTGAATGTGTGCACATGTGCCTGTGTGTGCACACACAGGCAGTGGTGAGACTTGCTCGAAGAATTTCTGAGATGCTGATGCCTCTTCGCAGGGTGAGCGCTCACAGAGGCCTGGCTGGCTGATGCACGTCCCTAGGGCCGAGGGAGAAAAGCATCTCTGGCCCATCTCTCAGCAGTTGGCCCAGTTACCTTGATGTGGCATTTGCTATGGGGCAGAAACCTCAGAGAAGTCTCTGCCTCCCCTGCCTTCTCTAGGGTCAGATAATAGGTAGGATGCAGGAGGAGGAACCATAAGGAGGCTCCCCACACAGCTCACTGGCCTCGTTTGCCTGTTCCAATGTGGGGTTTCATGGCGAGGCCCGCAATAGCTTTCTACGCTGTTCCATTACCTTCTCCGGGCTGCCTGATCAGATCCAGTGCATCCTATGTGGTATTGAAGCCAGGTTTCCAGAAGGACTGTACAATGACCTGTTCCCATCTGTCCCATCAGTGGGCTCCCACGTAGCTCTAGGGTCTTTGTACAGGTGCCAATCATCCTGTTCCCTAGCGCATCTCTGGAGACCTGCGGGATTCTGTGGCTGGTCTGTACCATCCCAAGTTTCACACTCTCTTCCTTAACAAAGGTGTCCTTTTAAAAATGACTGTAAAACATATTTGATTCAGAAGCCAATAAAAGACTAATAAAAATGCTTAATTCAAATTTGCTTCTGTGAAGGATTTATCTCCCAGCCCCTTTTAACCAGCACAGCTGCCATGTAACAACTTTTTCTGCTTTTTTTTCTTATTCTTGTCCTTCCCCAGACCCATTTCCTCTCCCTACTCCAGCAAGGGCTTATCTTTCAACTGTGGAAAGGCACCAGTTAAACAGTACTCCAAAGCTTATCAGAATATTCAGGCAGTAAAATTATCTTATAATTAGCCTAACTGTAAACCAGAACTTTTTAACCCCAGGAAATGTGAAGTTACCCAGCCTGTGAAATGGGCAAGTTGCTCATTCTGACCTTTTTAGGCTGCAGTTTCTACTTTTGTTTCATTCCCCCAATAATTTCCTCCTTTTTCTTTAAATTCTTGATGGTCCCTGAGGCATCTTCCTCTTCTGTTTGCTGAAGGCTCAGAGAAAATGTACTCCTGGCTGAGCTGAAATAGATAATTGAATGCATTCAGGCGAGGGGGATACGAAATCAACCTGTTATCTACTTCATGCCTTCACTTTTAGGTATGCTTTCGGTAAAATGAAGCCTCATCTCACCATCGCTGATTCCATACTTCAGGTGCATGCGGTGGTGACACCCAGCCGAATGATTCTGGAGCTATTCCCACACTAGCTGGGGGATTCTGCAGTATCCTGAGCTGGTTAGAAGAATTGGGCTTTCTTATCACAAAGATTTCTCCTAACTCTTCCTCCCCTTGTCTCTTGCTTACCCCATCGACCCTCCCACTACCCCAGGGACCCTCCTGTTATCTTGCAGCACCCAGGAGGGTGCCACAAAAGTCACCTCCCCACCCCCACTTCTATGGGAGCTGACATCAAGGGAATGGGCAGTGACGTGTTTGGGGGTGTTAAGGTGCTACTCAGGTGGACTTTTGGCCCAGAAATGATATTATAGATGATGCTTCGGTTTTTAACTGCAGTTGAGATTCTTAAACTAGTCATGCCACAATTCAGCCACAAGTGGGTTAGTGAGACTTACATAGGCATGATTAGGGCTGATCACTGTGTTTTACATGATGAAATACTTGCAAAGTTGCAAAAATTAAACTTAAAAACAATTAAAAATTAAATTTTGGAGTGTGACATTTTCATAGAGGGGTGTTGCCTATAAATAGTGGTAGTGATTATTTATAGAGTTTTTTTCCTATCCATCAGGCAGTATGCACACATGTGGGCATACACACAGATACAAACACATAGATAGAAAAATTGTTTCATCCTTATGTTAATCTGGTGAGAACATAATTACTTTGCCCATTTTACAGTTGTGAACACTGAGGCTCTGAGAGGTTAAATCACTTGCTGACACCCATATGGTTAGCAGTTGGACGTGGCTGTCACGTAATCCACCACTGGCCTTGCGTTAACCAGCCGAGGCCCAGGCCATATGGTCCGACCTCTAGTTGTTCTTGAGAGGTTTCCCTGACACCCCTACAGGGTAAGGAGGAAATTGCAGTGTCACCTCGGGCTCTGCTTGTGGCCGTGCCCGGCAGTCGTGTACACTTTCTCTTGATGTCACGTGTGTATCACAGGTGCGATTTCCTTGCAGTCCTCGGAGCTGCCTTGCTGGCCTTGAGCTGACAGGATCAGGGTGAAGTCTGTGCTGATCCCCTCAGGGAGGCTCTGGCCCAAGTGGTCAGTCCCCCTGGGGTGGAGGTAGTGAGAGGGTCGCTCCCAGGACCTGGGCGTGGCCATGCTCTCCTAATGCAAACCTCAGAATCAGATCTGCTCTGCAGTCCCATCTTTTCACGGCTTTGTCTCAGAGCTGAAAGAGCCCTGTTTTGCTCATGGAAAGAGTAGAATGGTGGTTGCCAGGGGCTGCAGGGTGGGGGTAAGTGGGGAGATGTTGGTCAAAGGGTAAAAACTTCCAGGGCTAAGAAGAATAAGTTCTGAGGGTCTAATGTACAGCATGGTGACCGTAGTTAACAATGCTGTGTTGCATAGTTGAAAGTGGCTAAGAGAGCAGATCTTAAGTGTTCTCACCAAAAAAATAAATAAAAGGTAACTCTGTGAGGCGATGAATGTGTTAATTAATGTGCTAATGTGTGTTAACCATTTTGCAATGTATGTGTATATGTCATCACTTTAAATAGATACCCTTTTATTTGTCAATTACACCTCAATAAAAAATAAAAATGAAAGCATTTTTAAAAAGGCAAAAAAGAGCCTTTTGGAAGTCTTTCCTGATGAGAGACACCTTCTGTCTAATCCATGATGGAATATTGTACCCTGTTTAAGACCCTTTCAAAATACCATTATCCTTTTAAGAGTTAAGTTGAAACTAAAGATCGATCATTAAAACATGTTATTTTTAAAAAAAGTTTTATTTAGGAAGCATTAGCAGGAAGGTGTTTTAAGAAATGTTTAAAAAAAATTGGCATGTTAAATCAGTTTTCTTGTGAATTCAGCGTATGCTTGATATTATTTAATATGTATTCCTCTCTCTTTTTAATTGCAGCTTGGGTTGACGATAGCCATTCGCTATAGCCACAGGTAAAGTTACATTTTTTTCTTTTAAGGAGTATCCTTACTGATTATAGATTTTGGTTTGCTCAAGTCTACAAGTTTTTGAGCTTAATTTTGGTGGCTGCTCTATCTGTGATGTCAGTGTGATAGCAATTAGATGAAATTGTTCTAGTTGCTTGATTGGTGAGAGTTAATCACTCTTTGGAGGAATAAGATTTTTACGTAAAAGTTGTGGTAGATAGCCCATTTCTTTTTTTTTAAATTTATCTATTTAATTTATTTATTTTTGGCTGCATTGGGTCTTCATTGCTGCGCGTGGGCTTTCTCTAGTTGTGGCGAGCGGGGGCTACTCTTCATTGTGGTGCATGGGCTCCTCATCGCGGTGGCTTCTCTTGTTGTGGAGCACAGGCTCTAGGTGCGTGGGCTTCAGTAGTTGTGGCACACAGGCTCAGTAGTTGTGGCACACGGGCTTAGTTGCCCTGCGGCATGTGGGATCTTCCCAGACCAGGGCTCGAACCCGTGTCCCCTGCATTGGCAGGTGGATTCTTAACCACTGTGCCAACAGGGGAGCCCTGCCCATTTCTTTTAAAGTCAAAAATGTAATGCTCTAGGGCAGGGACCCGACGTGATTTCTGGGAGTGGACTCTGTCCAAGGGTGAGAAGTGGAAACAGGGATGTCATGCATGAGAAATGAGGCCAGAAAGCCACACGAAGGATTGGCTTAGTGACTTTATTCAGAAAGCCAGCAGACTGTGAAGATGGACTAGTGTCCCAAAGATCCATTCAGGCTTCTTTTATACTAAAAGGGGAGGGGGTGTGGCTGGTTGTTGCAGCCTTCTTGATGCTGGAATCCTTTGTTCTTGCAGCTGTCCTGTTGGTCAGGGCACAATGTTCCTATAAACCTCCAACAAGACAAATGTTATTCTCTGTTCTGCAACTTTTTATCTCTATGAATGGGAAAGTGTTATACCTTTAAAGGTCAGAGCCTTGAGAATGGGCTACCCTGTATATTCCAGGCTATAGGCAACATTCTTTTAGTGATTAACTTGTAACAAGAGCAATAGAGTACAAAAAGGTTAAAGTAAAAGAAACAGACTCAGTATGGGGTCAGATTTGTTCTTCCCTATCACATCCCCATGGAGGTGGTGGGTGCACCACGAAGAAAGCACTTTGCTTGGATTGTAAACAACATTCCCCTTTGTTCCTCTTTCCCCAGAGCACCCGCCTCACTGAGGAAATGTGGCTGGTAGATAGAGGTTTACGAGGCTGAGTAGCAAGGTAGGCACCCTGAGCCATGGCCCTACGGGAACTAAGGACAGGAGCTCTGTTGTGATCAAGGGAAAGAAGGATGTTCGGGTGGTAAACGAACGTCGATTTTAGAGAGGGCAGAGCTTTGGAGCTGCTCATCCTGTGGCCACATTTATGGATTCTGCCCCAGTTCCTATCTGCCTACTGTCACTGGACGACCATTTATCATGCTCGTGCAGTGTGTGGGTCAGGGGTCTGGAAAGGGCCGTGAAGATGGCTTGTCTCTGCTTCACAGGGTCTGGAGCCTGTGCTGGGGGACCCAAGGGCTGGGGGGCGAGTCATCTGAAGGCTCACTTGCTCTTGTGTCCGGTGGGTGAGGCTGGCTTGTGGCTGGGGGGGCAGTCTCTGTTCCTCTCCACATGGGCTGTTTTGAGCTTCCTCACAGCATGGTGGTTGGCTTTCTCTGAGTGAGTGTCCTGGAAAGAGAGAACCACGTGGAAGCTGTCTCTGTTCTGTGGCCCAGCCTCACAGAGCATCACTTCCACCTTGTTCTATTGGTTGGCACAGTCGCAAGCCCCCACTTGTGTTCAGAGGGAGGGAGTAGAGACACCCCCCTCGGCCGAGGGAGTGTCGGTCACGTTGTAACAAGAACATGAGAGGTGGCAGAGCTCTGTTCGGCCATATTTGGAAATGCGCTCTGCCATGGAGCCCAGCTGAGTGTCGGAGTATTTATTTAGAGCACTTGTGGAAAGAAATTTAAGACTGTCCTTGCTGCAAGGCACTCACTAGTTGGGGGTACACAAGGGGTATGTCTGAAGAAGACAGGACAGATGCAGCTCTCATAGGAGGGGGTCAACCAATCAAAGGAGGCTTCTTAGAGGCAGCGGCCCTTAAACCATCCTCATTCCACCGAAGTGCGAGAGTGGGACGCAGGTCCAGTTGGCTCAGGGAGATGCCTGGGCAGGCTGAGAATACAGGTCCCTGAGAACACATAGCCCTTCAATGACTATTTGACATGTATTTGGAGGAGAGGCAGCGTATGGGGAGGCTCTGGAGGGGTGGGGTGGATCCTGGCTGCCTCAGCCTTCCTTCTGTAGCCCTAGGAGTTCAGTCGCAACCCTAAACTTAGAACCCACTCCTCAAAACAAAGGCCCTGCCCAGGCTGGATGGCAGGCAAGCAGAAAGGCTAGCAGCTGTCTGTCTACGGGAGCATCTGCCTTCTGGGTCCATGCTCCATCCAAGGAGCCTAACCCCGCACTCCTCCTGGCCAGGCCACTGCTGTGCTCTCACGGGGGCGTCCTGGCAAAGGGAGCTGCCCCTGGGCTGTGTTTCCAGGGAAGTTTGCCTCCAGGCTGTCCTGTCTCCTGTCTTAGCTCTGGGCCATCAGGTTCAGAGCAGGGAGTCATGGATATTTGCATAAATGCAGCAAAAAGCGAAGACAAATCTAAATAAGTTACAAAGGGAAGTAGTGAGATGGGGGAGGAGGAAAGCGAAGGTATCTACTGAGCTTCCTTTGCCAGTGTCCAGTGCCTTCACCATATGCCTCAGGGGCTGGGGCCCCCGGAGTGAGCGGTGGCCCAGCGAAGCCCATATTCACAAGAGACTGCTCACAGCATCCATGTGCCCCTGCCAGGAGCCTGAAGTCTTTAGGAGCGGAAAGAATGATTAGAAAGTGATTGCTGTAACTCAGGGATGACCCGGAGACTTTGTTTTTCTTTTTTGGCTTGGCTGGGCCTCGAACAAAGTGTAAATGTCCAATTTCCACATCCGATGGATGCAAGCCAAGGTGGGGAGAGGTTGTGAGGAGCGTTTGACCTGTCCAGGTACCAACATCTTAAAATAATGGAGGCCTTATCAGAGGTTGTGTTTTTTTTGCTTTTTTTTTTTTTAAGATTTTTTTTTTTTTTTTGATGTGGACCATTTGTTAAAATCTTTATTGACTTTGTTGCAATATTGCTTCTGTTTTATGTTTTTGGTTTTTTGGCCCCAAGGCATGTGGGACCTTAGCTCCCCAACCAGGGATCGAACCTACACCCCCTGCATTGGAAGGTGAAGTCTTAACCACTGGACCGCCAGGGAAGTCCCCAGAGGTTGTGTTTTGCAAAAATTATTTCTGAAACAGAGGGGATTCTGAGTTAAAAATTCCAGGAAGTGCAACAGCAGCCATCAAGTGTGGTGAGGAGGAATCCTCCAGTCTGCAGGAATGGGTGACACTTGATACGGTGTCACTGAGGAGACACTTGCAGGTCAGGGCCACACCACCTGCCCCTTGCCCCATGGCCTTTGTCCTGTCTCCGGGGTCAGCGGGCACAGGAGGAATCGGCCTTTCCTCTCAGACACCTACAGGTCACCGTGTTGCCTGCTGGTGCCTCTTCTGTCCCTCCTGCTGCCTGGCCCTGTCACACACCTCTGTCCTCACATAGGAGGAGGAAGATGAAGGGGGTGGGTTTCTGGTTGTGTCCCCTCTTTAAAAATCCTACTAGCTTATTTAGATTAATTGAAACTTCCATCCTTTTGTCGATTGCTTTTTTTTTTGGTAAATTATACCTGACAGAAATTTACCATATTATTTATTTATTTATTTGTTGGCATATACTTAATTTACAATGTTGTGTTAGTTTCAAGTGTACAGCAAATTGACTCAGTTATATCGATACGTATACATATATATTTATTTTCAGGCTCTTTTCCGTTATAGGTTATTACAAGATATTGAGTATAGTTCCCTGTGCTCCACAGTAGGACCTTCTTTTCCTGTTTTATATATTGTAGTGTGTATATGTTAATCCCAAACTCCTAATTCATGTCCCGCCTCCCTCCTTTTGGTAACCATAAGTTTGTTTTCCATGTTTGTGAGTCTATTTCTGTTTTGTAAATGAGTTCATTTGTGTCATTTTTTTTAGATTAAAAGTGATCTAAAAAATAAAGTTTACCATTTTAACCCTTAAAAAGGATTAGGCAGTGTACAGCTCCGTGGCATTAAGCACATTCACATTGTTGTGGAGACATCATCACCATCCATCTCCAGAACTTTTTCATCCTCCCAGACTGAAAGTCTGCACCCGCTGAACACTGACACCACTGTCCCAAGCCCCCGGCAACCACCATTCTACTTTCTGTCTCTGAATTTGACGACTCGAGGAACCTCATAGAAGTGGAATCATATGGTATTTGTCCTTCTGTGGCTGGCTTATTTCACTTAGCAGAATGTCCTCAGGGTGCATTCATGTAGCATGTGTCAGAATTCCTTTCCTTTTTAAAGGCTGTATACTGTTCCATTCCACACATAACTTTTTCTTTATCCATTCACCTGTCGATGGACATTTGGGTTGTTTCTGTCTTTTGGTTATTGTTAATAATGCTGCTGTGAACATGGGCGTACAAATATCTCTTTGAAACTTTGCCTTCAATTCTTTTGGGTGGAATTGGTGGATCACATGGTAATTTTATTTGTAGACTTTTGAGGAGCTGCTGTACTATTTTCCTGTTGATTACTTTTTAAATGGGGTTGTATCTGTGTCTATATAGTTCTTGGTCACTTCAAAAGCTCACGGCTGGGCTTCCTTGGTGGTGCAGTGGTTGAGAGTCCGCCTGCCGATGCAGGGGACACGGGTTCGTGCCCCGGTCCGGGAAGATCCCACATGCTGTGGAGCGGCTGGGCCCATGAGCCATGGCCGCTGAGCCTGCGCTGCGCAACGGGAGAGGCCACAACAGTGAGACGCTTGCGTACAGCAAAAAAAAAAAAAAAAAGCTCACGGTTGCTATTGAGAAATGGTTTC